GTAGGGTTTATGTCTTTTATTATCTAGTTATTTAGCTATTTTTCAATATATGTTGGTCCTTTGTACTGGTTCTGCAGGTCTTTGTTTAATGAAATTCCATTTGGTACGTACCTTTGTATTGTGCTTTTTTGCGCTGCTATTTTATTTTCTTGCTCGGTTTTTTGTTTAAAATGTTTATGCAAATTTCTCATGAATTAATGGACACAACACAAGTTGGGAACCTCCATAGTTGGACTCTGTAAAGAAGAAAACAAGTGATCACTACCACCACCATAAGAATTTAAAGGTGTTTACCAAAAACATGATGAGGAGGTAAAATCAATCTAACAAAATAGTGATCATGATGTGTCTATTCACTTCACAGGTAAAAAAAGAAGGAAAACAAACCCAGCAGACCATGAAAGTGAAAGAATTTACACAAGAAACGAAATATCTTTACTACAGGTTTAACAAAAAGCAAGCCTTTTTATTTAATTCAATTGTAAAAGAATACAAGAGGAGACACGTTTCAGGCGGCTGCCTCGAGTATTTCCTATGCTCATTGTAGAAAATAATGGTTCTCTATCTATGTTGTTAAATATGAAACCTTAGGGAAAATGATGTCAATATTAAATAGAGGTAAATCAGTTTACATACTTATATAATATATGGAAAAGAATTAGTAAAAATGTAGTTAAAGTGCCAAACCTATAGGCTATATAGGGGTGGGCATCTTTGTCTATTGGGCATTTTCTTAAATGTTGAGTTGGAGTTTTTGAACTAGCATTAGTAATAAACATTTTTATTCTCAAGAGTTACTGTTAAATGGCAGTACCGCTTACTGAATTAATCCAAATCGAATAAGCGGTTAATTGATCCGAATAGTTAAAGATTCTAATAAAAGGCTTTAGTTTGGTTAATGAAAGAGCCCTCAACCGCTCCAAATCAATCTATGCTCAGGCCTAGGCTGTATATACAGTACTAATTAATAATATGACTTTTATTAATTATGAATAACTTACAAATATTGGTAACATAATGTAGAGAAAAAATATAGGCAAATCTGATTAAACATGTAGGTTTAGGCCTTAATTGAAAAGCTTTTCACATAAAAGGAAAGTTTCAGAGTTTTGAGAGGAAAGAATGTGGGTGTATTCTTATTACAAGAAATGGCAAAGATGCATATACATATAGGGTTTTTACACAAAGGTTCTAGAGAGGTATCGAAGAAAACAAAGGTATATTCCTAATGCTTATCCATTTTTGCATTCTTTATTCTTATTCTAGAGACTTCTTGTATAGGAAAAATATACACTATGTAAAAGAGAGACGTTGAGACAATGAAAATACAATCCACATTCAAAATCCTAGCTAGCTGAGCAATCCTCTTCTTTTTTTTCTGAAAATTTCAGTCCTCCTTTTAAAATCCTAACTGAATTATGTCAATTCAAAGTCTCAAACTTAAAACCCTTTAAATAAATTATCTCAAGTCAAGGCAGTCGGGCCACCCTTAATTTGGTTCTTCAGTCACATAATGAGATACATATATGAACCCAAAAAATAAAGTTGGAAATAAACTCTATAGTATTTCTTTCATGAATTTTATTACTTACAAGTTGTGCCTCTAAGTTTGTGCGCGTTGATCGAATTATATATGGTTTACACCTGATAAAAGCAAACATTATAATTGAATGAGGTTTTTTTAGTCTTTTCAGCTAGCGGTCTGAGATATGTCTACTCTTGTAAAGCTTGTTTTCTTTTTCTTTTTTTTCTTTTTTAGCTAGCTGGCATCAACATTTAAGAAAATAGAAACCCTAGCTAGCTAAACTCTACTATAAAAGAAAAGATACCCCACTTCATTTCTCATCTGGAGGAAGATCTTCCTCTTCATAGCCAGTCTACTTACTATGGCACCACCGCCTCAGCCCGAAGAAATGAGGCTATCGCCTCTCACCCTCGCATTTTTTGTACACGCCAGCTTAGCAGTCCTCATTTATGTCAGCTTCCCATCAGTCTATAGTTATTCTCTACTAGGGTTAACTTTTATGTGGGGGGTTCCGGAAATTATTACCCACCAAAATCCATACTTCGCAGTCCTTTGGGGGATTCTGCTCATTTTCTGGGGCATTTTTGGGATGCTCCTCACCTGTCCCTGTGCCTGCGTCCAGTAGTTTGGGTTTAGGGGTAAACCACTTCTCTGATGGCTGTGTCTGGCAGTGTCCTAGGGTATTGGATCGAAGAAGAAGAAGAAAAAGAAGAGAAGATCAGTGGGGAGCTTGCCTGCCTTGCTGCTTGTAGGGTTTATATCTTTATTTTCTAGTTTATTTAGCTATTTTGCAATCTGTGGTCCTTTGTATTGTTCTGCTGGTCTCTTTGTTTAATGAAATTCCATTTGGTCCCTTTGTATTGTGCTTTTTTGCACTTTCTTGCTCGGTTTTTTGTTTAAAATGTTTATGCGTATTTCTGATGAATTAATGGACACAAGTTGGGAACCTCCACACATTTGAATACAAAATGTCTTGTAACAATTTAAAGGTGTTTACCAAAAACATGAGGAGGTAAAAATCAATCTGTGGATCTTCCAAAAATAATTCCCGAACATGATCGTAGAGCCACACATCTAACAAAATAGTGATCTTGATGTGTCTATTCACTTCAGGTAAAAAAAAAAGGGTAAAAAAATTCCCAGCAGACTATGAAAGTGATAGAATTTGCACAAGAAACGAAATATCTTTACTAAAGGTAGGCAAATCTTGGTTAGATGATTCTTAATATGACAAATCTTGGTTTATTACGAATGTTGGTGTATTGTCATTACAAGAAACGACTTTCTTTGATGACTGACTGCTTCCATTTACATGCTTGACTCTCAATGTTTCTTGCCTGCACAGGCAAATACGCCTCCGGAGTATCTTCTCGGAACCTGCCGCCTTAATCATCTTGATGACATGACTCTAATTCGGGTTTAGCGAAACCAAACCATGATTATTATTGTATCCCAAAATTCATTCTCAACGACAAGATATATGGCTTTACATCGAAGGTTGCAAATCAGGGCAGCTACAAGTAGAAGTCTTTCTTTTATTCAATCAAAATTTGATATTGGGGGCATGGCATTGTAGATAAATTATACCATTAGGATTGATTTTCCACCTCAGTAATTTGTAATTTGATATTATTTATAAATAAAAAAATAATATCAACCTATAGGTACAGGTATAGGTATAGATTAGGTTATACACTGAATGATATTCTTTTAAGTCGAATTATAATTTTCTTTACAAACAAATCATAGTTCCTTGATGGTTATGCGTAAATGAGCAAGATGCAAGTACATTTGATAATATGAGTACCCGAGTTCGATGAAGGGTGTTTGCTCGAAGACGATGAATTTCATTTTGCTGTTGCTCGTAGGGTTTATAGTCTAGTTTACTATTTTGCAATCTATTTCGGCCTCGGTTGGTCGAAACATGTAGGTTTATTATATATATAGGCAAATGATCTTGTCAAACATGTAGGTTTATTATATATATTTATCTTGCGTGAGTATGCCCTTAATTGAAAAGCTTTTCACATAGAAGGAAAGTTTCAGAGTTTAGCTAGAGAGGAAAGAATGTAATTACAAGGAAAAGGTAAAGCTGCATATGCATATATTAGCTAGTTAGGATTTTTACACAAAGGTTCTAGACAAGTATCGAAGAAAACAAAGGTACTATATTCCTAATGCTTATCCATATATATTCATTTCAATTTGCAATGTTGGAGAGCCATCTGGTCTGGTGTGTGTGTGTGGAGTATTTTTGTCAACCAACGGCTATATATGTTGGTGTTTTGAATAAAATATAATATAAAAATATTTCAATAGCTAATTGATGCTCTTACCACCTCTCAAAATCGTGGTAAATTTGCCGGCTTATGTGTGGAGTTGGATTTAACTAGGCCTTTGGATGCGTTTGTTCAGATTAATGATAATTGGTATAACATAGATTATGAGGGTCTCGATTTAATGCCTTAGCTCAAGTCAATGAGGAGTTGGGGAATAATGCAGCAGATTTCAGGCTCGGTAATATTCAGATCAATAGTAGACCAGCTAATCATGTTCATGAGAAAGTGGAGTTGGGCCCCAAGGTCTGGACTAAGTCTAAGTCCACTAAATCTGTGGAGAGAAATGCTTGGAATAATATTTCTAATCTTAATATGAAAGTGACTTCTAGAGATGATAACAATTCAAGGAAATCTATCTCAGTTTTAAAGGATACCATTGGTGCTTCAAAGGGAAAGGGGAAGATTATACTTAGTGGAAGAACGGTTGGGGCTAGCCTACTAACTCCGTCCCAACGCAAATTAATAATTGGGTGAATGGTCAAGATCTACAATATCAAAAGGGGTGTACATCTTTGGCCATCAACCCGTTGATATTCCTGAATCTGATTGTACCAAGGATGATCGTTATGAGCCCGAGGGAGAGAACGGTGAGTTAACTATTTCTGCTCCTGCTAATCTGGCTATGAATGAGATGAAAGCATGGACCTATCTGAAGGTCATGACAATTCCTCTAGTAGAAAAGTGAATGGCAATACCTCCACCGTTATTGGAGGGATGAATCTTGGGCTTTAAGGGCTTAGGCCTTGGGTTTCGCTATAATTCTACCTGAATTTATGAATATTGTTTGTTGGAATGTGAGATGTGCTGCGTGCGCCAGTTTCAAGTCTAATGTTGATAATCTAATTCGTACTCATCATATGGATATCCTTTTCATTTATGAGCCTCGTATTAGTGGTGAGAAAGCTATGTCCGTTGTAAAAAAATTAGGCTTTTCTAATTTTGAGATTGTTGATGCTGTGGGTTTTTTTAGTGGTCTGTGGATGCTATGGGATCAGCATAAGGTTAAAGTGGAGATTGTAGGGACTTATGATAAGTCTATCTCTGCTTGTGTTTGTCGCCTAAAGCGAGCCCCTTAGCTTTTCACTGCAGTCTATGCGAGTCCCTGTGGAAGTAAGAGGGCTCAGTTGTGGGATTATATGAGTTTTGTGGCTAGAAGCCACAACTTACCTTGGCTACTGGCTGGGGATTTCAATGAAATGTTGAGTATTGAGGATAAGTTCGGAGGTGCTTCTACTTTGAGGGTCCGAGGTTTTAAAAATTGGTTTGATGGTAATGATATGGTGGACTTAGGATTCTCTGGCCCTAAGTTTACTTGGACCAACCAACAAGTTTTCGAAAGACTGGATAGAGCAATTTGTAATCTTAGTTGGAGAAGAATGTTCAATGAGGCTCATGTGAGACATCTACCTAGGACAAAATCTGATCATGCTCCAATTAAGATTTATCTCAACTCTTTGTTAGCACTTGACCCTCTGAAGAGGCCTTTTCGCTTTGAGGCCATATGGTTACAGCATGCTTTATTCCCTGAGTTGGCGGCTAAGGTTTGGGGGAGTTCTACTGGTTATGCTTTGGATAAAACATATAGGCTGGTAGAGCCTATTCAATAATGGAATTCTACTCTTTTTGGCCATTTGAAGCAAAGGAAGGCTAGATTGTTGGCTAGACTTGAAGGTATTCAAAAAGCTCTCTGTCAAGGATCTAATATTTTTCTCAGTAAGCTTGAGTTGTCTCTTATTGAAGAATTCAATACTCTTCTTGATCAAGAGGCATTATTTTGGAAACAAAAGTCTAGGCTGGGGTGGCTCCAAGAAGGTGATAGAAATACAAAAAAAATTCACCTCACTACTGTGATCCAAAGAAGAAGAAATAGAATTCAAAGACTTAAAAGGATGATGGTGCATGGGTTGAGGAATCTGAAGGTATATAAGCTCTAGCGGTAGAGTATTTCATGAACCTTTTTTTCAATGCCTCTGCAAGTCCTTTTCGAACTCTTTGCCTCAGCTCTTTCCTAGCATCTCTGCTGCAGATATGGTCTCTCTTAGTAATCATGTTTAACTAGAGGAAGTGAAGGAAAATCTCTTTCAGATTAGTGGCTTGAAGGCTCATGGAATAGATGGCTTTCCTGCATGTTTCTATTAGACTCAGTGGACTCAATGTGGTAATGGTATTTGTAGTTTGGTGTTGTATGCTTTCCATTGTAGGTTACCAGGCAAACTCAATAATACTTTAATTACCCTTGTTCCTAAAGTGGAGAATCCTCATAGTATATTTCAGTTTAGGCCCATTAGCTTATGTTCCACACTTTATTAAGTTACCTCTAAAGTGATTGTTGCTCGACTGAGACTTGTTTTATCTAGCCTCATTAGTCCCAACCAAGTTAGTTTTGTCCCAGGTCGACATATCACGATAATATTCTAATTGCTCAAGAGCTTATGTATAAATTCAAAATTTCCAAAGGCAAAAAAGGTTTCATTGCTTGGAAAATCGATCTGTCAAAGGCTTATAATAGGCTCAATTAGGACTTCATTGAGCAAGTACTTGGTGAGGTCGGGTTACCTCACATGCTTCTTCAATTGGTAATGAGCTGTGTCCAGTCTGTCTACTATCATATTTGTATTAACGGGGAGATCACTGAGACTTTTGTGCCAAAGAATGACATAAGGCAAGGGGATCCTCTTTCACCCTACTTGTTTGTACTATGTATTAGGAAATTATCCCACATTATATTTGATACTGTTAACATGGGTGTATGGAAGCCTGTGAAATCTTCTCAGTCTAGGCTAGTTGCTTCCCATCTCTTTTTCGCTGACGACTTGTGTTTGCCCGTTTTGCGTTTACTCCTGTGATGGAAGGGCAAAGTTCCCCACTGCCTTGAGAACCATAGACTGGTCAACAAGTCAGCTTTCTTTGGTGTGCGAGCGTGCCACTGCTAGTAATAAAAATTCTAGCAGACTTAGTTTGGAATGGATAACTTGCGCCCCAAGTTACTGATTTCTGCAAACAAACGATTGTGAATTTGGGTGAGGAATATCTCCCAAGTAAGTTCTTTTCTCGCCTCAGACTGGTGAGGACTTTAACAATTTATCTCAGTATAAAGAGGTTGTTCTGGCCAGAATGGTTGATGGAATTTAAACTGTTTCAGGCAGAACTGATGGAATTTAAACTGTTTTTAGGCAGAACTGATGGAATTTAAACTGTTTTTAGGCAGAACTGCCTTTTACAAAACTATAACAATAAATACTCATGCTAGAGAGATGAAGATACAGTTGGAACTCCATTTCTGCCTGGATGGGAGGCTCTGTTCTGGGCTGCATTGGAAATGTCCGGGCTGCACTGGAAATGTCCGGGCTGCACTGGAGATGTCCGGGCTGGACTGGAGACGCTTGGGCTGGACTGG